TGACAAACATAGGTGCTAAAATCCTCAACAAAATATTAGCAAACTGGATCCAGCAATACATTTAAAAGGTCATACGCCACGACCAAGTGGGATTTATTCCAGGGATGCAAGGCTGGCACAGTATTAGCAAATTGACACGTGATGCGTCACATAAACAAACAGAAGGACAAAGTCACATGATCATATCAACAGATGCAGATAAAGCATTTGATGGAATCCAGCACCCATTTATGATTAAAAAAAACACACAAAAAACCCTCAGCAAAGTAGGAATAGAAGGTTCATCCCTCAACACCATAAAGGCCACATATGACAACCCCACAGCCAACATCATACTCAATGGGCAAAAATTACAAGCACTTCTCTTAAGGCCAGAAACAAGACAAGGGATGTCTGCTTTCACCACTCTTATTCAACATAGTACTGGAAGTTCTAGCCACAGCCATCAGACAAGAAGAAGAAATAAAAGGTATTGACATCGGAAAGTTCGGAGGAATTGAATAAATAGATTTCAAGTCATATGGCTCTTGCGGGAAAAAAAGATATATAAAGATAAATAAAAGTTTGAAACCCACTTTGACAAAAACAAACATTTTTTCCTCCAGTTTTCCTTATTTCGAGTCAGGTTTGTATAAAAGTCCCTAGAACATAGAGAAGACTAAGAATAAATGATGACAATCCCCTGGTTTCTGTGACCACACTGGCCAACATGATGCCCCTCCAACCTGCCAGGTGCCTTCCTATGCATCCACCACGCCCTTTGTCTGGGAACCTCCTCCCCATGTGTCTGCAGGGCTCACTCCCTAATCTCCTCCAAGGCGTAGCTCAAACATCCCCTTCTCAGGGAGGCATCAGCCCCTGACCACCTTTATCATGTTTAAAGCACTGTTTGAAAACCGCTTTAATAGTAACCTCTTCATTCCCAAAGCTTCATTCCCAAAGCTTCATTCCAAAGCAAGATTTAAAAAGACAATAGATTTAACCCATGACTGGGGAGTGAGAGAGAGGATCTTACCCTTTACTGGTTTATTACCACAGTGGACTGACGAACTTTCTAAAGTGTTTTTGCTGGTATACACAGTGCTTCTGGATAATGGAAACAAAGTAGGCGTTACTCCCCTGCTGCTTCTGACTGCTGATTCCTTATTCAGTTCACTCCTTATTTCACATAATACATCTACTTCTCTATCACTTTGCTATGTATTAATCTAACTTTTTTAAGTTGTTTTCTCCTATATAAAAGCAATAATAAACAAGAGTACTATAGAACTATTTTTCTTTTCCTATGGAACACTCACTAAAAGAAAATCTTTTTAACTATATAACGCTCATCATTTGCTTTTCCCAAGTCTTTAAAGAGCAAACAGAAAACCCTCAACAAAGTATCACAGGTAACAATCAACACAGAAGAGACAGTCATGGGCTTTACAAATAACCAAGTGCTTTCACTCACATTCAGCAGAGAAACACTTTTCCCTGAGCACTCTGCATCAATAATACAATTCAACATGACTGTACCTCATAGATGAGGATTAAAGGTGTCCTGGCTAAGATACGCAGCAAGGCTCATGAATTATTGGGCTTGCCCAAAGAAAACTCAATAAATGATTACTACCATCAGTTTCTTAGAAGGTCTTAAGTTTTTCAAACTACTTAACTAGTCTTTTTCTAAAACTACTAACATACTTCAGACTTTCAAAAGGATATTATTTCCAACTGCTATAATGAGGGCATATAGGGTGGCTGACTTTTCCCTTCAATGTCTGTTTTTCATTAAATTACATAACAGAAATCTTTTAGGTTTTCAAGATGCTTCAGCACAGCAGAATCAACACATTTTTTAACATGGTAAATAAGTAAATGTTTATAAGCCACAAAATGATGAGGCACCTCATTATGTAAGACTGTGGAACAAATTCTACCAACATGTAACTTATTCTCCAAGTTAGTAAGGGGTGTATATTAAACAATAACTTTCAATCTCCCAGCTACCTAATCCATATTCGTGAAATCTATGAGTGATTTACCAGTGATACACCCTCCAGGCCTAACTCACTTCCCAAGGCGCCTATTTATTTTTAAAAGCATGTAAATTCAGTGGCCATTAGGTTTCTTTTATTATAATGTTAGTTATCCTGTAATATTAAAGCATCTAAAATTTAAGAAGCATACTACAGTATTTAATCTTCCCTAACATACAAAGAAATATATTCATAACTTCCTGTCCTTGAGGTCAAGACATGAGCTGTCTAATACGGTACAGTAGTCACACGTGGCTACCGAGTACTTGTAATATAGCTTGTCCAAACTGAGGCATGCCAAAGATACATATCAGATTTTAAAGATACAGTATGAAAAAAATGTAGAATATCTCACTAATAACTTTTTGTTGATTACTTGTTGAAATATTGTCTCTCTGCTGTCAACCCTCTAAGTGTGATGACTTGCCATCACATTTAGAATAAAATCCAAGGACTTCACTGTGGTCTATCAGCCTTTTCATGATCTGCTTAAGCGTTACCCTTATTTCCTACCACTCTCCCCCTCCAGCCACTGTGCTTCTTGCTCATCCTTGAACACACCAAGCAGAAGCCTTTGTACTTGACTCATCCTGCTGCCAGGTACACACTGCCCTGTAACTCATATGATTTGTTCCCACACTTCATTCAGCTTCCTACTTAAATATCACCTCTATAGAGAAAACTTTCTTGACTACCCTTTCTAAAGTAGCATACTCTGCTGCTCTCTATCCCAGTCATCTGCTTTTTCCCCCATAACAAATCAAATATACATTTATTCATCTGTTGCAATGTAAGTTCCATGAGGATCAAGACTTCATCTCCTTGGCTGTATTATATCTCCAGAGCCTAGAACACTGCCTGGTGTAAAGCGACACTGAGCCCAGGCCAGGTGGCTCAGTTCGTTGGAGCATCATCCTATAGGCCAAAAAGGTTGTGGGTTCAATTCTCTATGAGGGCACAAACCTAGGTTGCAGGTTCATCCTCAGTTGGGCACGCATACAGGAGGCAGCTGATCTATGTTTCTCTCTCACACTGATGTTTCTCTCTCTCTCTCTCCCCCTCCCTCTCTCTCTAAAATCAACAAACATGTCAGCGAGCAAGAATTTACAAACAAAAAAATTATAAAGTGACACCGAATTATCATTGACAGTGAATCTATTTGAATTCACTAAGTGGGAGGATTTGAATATTGCAGAAAACTTTCAGCAAATGCTACTGACAGTGGAATGAAGAGTAAAAAGACCAGTGGTGGTGATGGTGGCCGTGTGAGCCTAGAACACCTGTGGGTGGAAAAGATAAGAGCCTGGACGGACTGGATTAACATCAGTATTAGAATGAGATTTTTAATAGCTGGACAACAGTAGGAAGATGGCAGCCAGGATGGAGGCAAAAGGAAAGCTTCAGTGGTTGAGGCCCGAGCAGTAGAATGGAGAAAAATCTCTTATTTGTCATCCCAGCCCCTGTCCCTCCTCCTCTTCTTTCCCTTCATGTTTCCTCTCTCAGTATCTACCCACTTTTGCCACCTCTTTTCCTCCATCTGTTTTGCTTCCTCTGCCCTAAATTATTTTTCACTTGTATATTGCCCTTAAGGAGTTGTTTCCCCCTGTGAATCAGCATGATCACATGATCAGTAGAAGAAAGGCTCTCTAATGAGAAACTGTTAGGAGTAAATTGGACATTCTGCCCTGGCTGGGTGGCTCTGGTGGTTGGAGTGTCATCCGTACACCAAAAGGTTACAGGTTCAATTCCCTGTCGGGGCACATACCTAGGTCTGAGGTTCATTCCCCCGTTCGGCATGTACAGGAGGCAACTGATCAATGTTTCTCTCTCACATCCATGTTTCTCTCTCTTTCTCCCTTCCTCTCTCTCTAAAATCAATTTTTAAAAATCCTCAGGTGAGCATTAAAAGAATAAAAAGAAGAGTATATTTGACATTCCTTTAAATGCCAAGTATAATACCAACATCATCATCTCAGTATCAAGTACTGGTCATGAAGGCCACAGAATGAAGCAGAAACTCAGGCAGTCACTGCCTTTCACCTGGGACACTAAGAGTTCTGAATGCTGAGTCTGATGCCGACCTGCCCCATACAGTTATTGCCATATTATTGACTACATTCCCTATGCTATACTTTACATCCCCAAGACTATTTTATAACTACCATGTGATACTTTCTAATCCCTTCACCCTTTCAACCACAATGCTGTACACCTGAAATTAGTATAAAATAATATTGAGTGCCAACTGTAATTGAAAATTTAAAGAAAAAAAGGAATTCTGAATGCTCTGGGATTTCATCTGCTTAATTTTCTTCTCAACCTTCTCCAGAATATATCTTTAAAATATAATCAACATCTTTTTTTTTTTTAGTTTTACTGAAGCATTAATTTGCATATTTTAAAATAACACATACTTAATGTATATATTTTGATGAGTTTGAACAGATTCATATTCCCATGATACTATCACCACAATCAAGCTACTTCAGTATACATCTATTATCTCCAAAAATTTCCTTATGTTCTTTTGTTTTTGTTTTTGTTCTGTGGTAAGAACACTTAGCATGAGATCTACCCTCTTAACATATTGTGTGCATAATAATGTATTGTTAACTATAGTTACTATGTTGTACAACAGACATTTTTTACTTCTATCTTACATTCTATTAAAAAAACCATGCCACATCCACTAATATATATTTGCCAAAATCTTAAACCTGGCATTACCCTTTTTAAATTAAGTTGATGCTGGTGCTTACTCAAGTCAAAATAAATGAAAACTGGCAAGCAGTCCCATCAGGCTTATAAATGATTGTTTGCATATATATATGCCTCTCCTCACCCCTCACCAAATTACACTGGACTTGGTGTTTAATTGGGCTCTTTGAAGAGTAATTCCTAATACATTAGCAGCAGCCAACATAATAATATCTATTAATTTCAATCAACTACCTCCCAAAATTCAGAAGGTCAACTTACTCATTTTGAAATCCTTCTGTAGGAGGTTACAGTAGAAGATGATCTCTGTAATTCAAAATGAATCTTGAGAAAGTAAATTGTAAATCAAAATTTTATGAGAAATTCATAGTAAAGTTCATGTTTTTCCCATTAATCCTAGAGACAAAGGAAAATCAAGACAAAAAGAAATGAGTTTAATTTTTTAAATATCAGGCATATTTACAAGTGCTAAGGCATTAAGATTTATAAACTAGATGATGACCTGCTTAAAGATAATCAATATATTTAACAACAAACAAGATACCTAGTCTTAAAAGATTTATTCCATTATTTTGGTAAGTATGCTTAAATTAATTCCAATTATAACCATAAGCTCAAGACTTAAGAGAAAATAAGTTCACTCTACAAATTAAATATGAAAAGCCAAGAGTACTAATCTTCTCTATGTCTTTCCCTGTTTCATCTTTCCAATTCCCCACCCCCACTCTCCCTGTCTCTACCATCATACATTCAAGTCTAGAGTACTATGAAGACTGATAGGATTAGTGTAAAATATGTATAACTAGCAGTATAACTTTATCATTTGTTTTTCTTAGTTCCAAGACTGAAAGATGCTAATACCAATGCAAAAGAGTGATTGTTTACAGATTGTTTACGTGTGTGTGTGTGTGTGTTTTTCCCCACCCCTCACCAAGCTGTGCCTCTGCTGACATATATTCAATATAAAATGGGAAAGTACAGAATGTAACAACTGTTTGTACTCATCTGTATTATTTCCACAACATAATTACTAATAGTGAAGGGATAGGTCCAAATTTAAGTTAGCAGCCTAATCTGGCTTAAAACAAAATACATCTTCCTAAAGTATTCACATTATAAAATACCTTATAACCATAAAAGGTAAGTAATTAAAGGACAAAAATCTAGAATAATACTAATAGCAGCAAAATATTCTGCTTTTCATTTTCACTAACTCGGTGTTAACATAATGAAATCTGACATTGCTATCAGCATAGTACAATAAACATGAAAAGGTGCCCAGTGTGCAAAGAAAATATGAAAATTCCTAACGACAACAGCAAAAACAAAAATTATGTTTTCTCTTTTCCTTTTACATGCCCTCTGTGATAGCTTGAGGACATATGACCTTGTTATCTACATACTATAATAAAAATTAAATTACCAGTGTGCCTAGATGGAGACTTCAAAAATAACTAAGGAAAATTTCTCTGTACCCATAAAAGATTCATCATACAGGACCCAGTTCTCATTTCCTTATGTTCCAGTCTGTTCTAAATACAGCTAAACAAACAAACAAAAAATATAAGTAACTCTCAGAAGTAGCATACATAGATATTATATCTTTATTGAAATCTCAAACCTTACATTATATAAAGATTTAAATCACTTTTAAAACAGAATTTATTAAAACTCTAAGCTCATATTGTGTTTATCTTTTTTGTAAATGAATATATTCCTAATAACATGGTTGTATCTTATGTTACTCATATAAATAAAAGCATATAGTCATTTTAGGGATTAATAGAAAAGCACATCTGCATGGAACATTTCCCTCATTAGATATTATCATGTTAGCATATTTTTCCTATTTCTGATTTTACTACAAAATAAAATGAGCTGATTTTTACCGCTAAGTTTCTCTATAATGTATATTGCAAATAATGCAAATACTTTAATTGTACATTAGAAGAATCTCATGTTCCTATAAAAAATCACTATAGAAATTAGCCCAGAAAAGACCTTACCACACAAACAAAAATCAAGATAAGACTGTACCAGATTGGCAAACCAGTTACCGCTTACACAAAATATTACCTTGAACATTACTTTTCAATTAAAAGCTATCTTTTTAAAAATCCCAGGCAATTTCAGGTGAGTCATTAGACTGTTGGCACTTCCTAAATTAGTGCCAAACTGAATCAGTTAAAAAATAATCAATTAGCCAAGAAGGTGAAGGGACAGAAAAAAAATATTCCCTGCAAATGGAAATGAAAAAAGGGTTGGGGTAGCAATACTTATATCTGACAAAATAGACTTCAAAACAAAGGCCATAACATGAGACAAAGAAGGACACTACATAATATGAAAGGGATCGATCCAACAAGAGGATATAGCCCTGGTAAATACATATGCACCCAATAGAGGAGCACCTAAATATATTTTAAAAACTCTTGGTGGGCTTTAAGGGAGAGATCAACAGCAATATAGAGTTATAATAGGGGACTTTACCACCCCACTGACATCACTGAATAGATCTTCCAGACAAAGAATGAACAAGGAAACGGGGACCTTAAACAACACACTAGATCAGATGGATCTTATTGATATTTGCAGAACATTTCATCCCAAAGCAGCAGAATATACATTCTTCTCAAGAGCACATGGAACATTCTCAAAGATACACCACAGGTTAGGACACAAAATAAGTCTTAACAACTTCAAGGAGATTGAAATCATATCAAGCATCTTCTTGGATCACAATGGCATCAGCAATCTAGAAATCAACTACAATTAAAAAAGAAATCAACTACAACTTAAAAACTCAAACATTGCAACACATGGAGGCTAAATAGCATGTTATTAAGCAATGAATGGATTACAAGTGAGATCAAGGAAGAAATAAAAAATTGCCTGGAAACAAATGAAAATGAGCATACAAAAACCCCAAATCTATGGGACACAGCAAAAGCAGTCATGAGAGGGAAGTTCATAGCACTACAGGCCTAATTCAAGAAGCAAGAAAAATCTAAAACAAACAACCTAACCCTGCACCTAAAAGAACTAGAGAAAAAACAACAAAGAGGAGCAAGGTGGGGGAAATGGGGGACACCTGTAATAGTGTCAACAATAAAAACAAAAATAAATTTTAAAAATAATAATTTAAAAAATTAAAAAGAATCAATTAGCCAAAGACTATACACTAATCAACTGACTTACCGAACTAGCCAAACTCTATATTCAAAAATTCAATCTTTTGTCAGAAATACACGTTTTGGGCTAGTGAAAATTTTCTGAAAAATAATTTTAGGTATACAATTCAAATGTTAATGTTCATTCTCTTTGACGAATGATTCTTCTCCTAAGGAAATAATCTGAAATGCAAATAAAGTTTTTATATATAAAGATATGTATTCCAATGTTACTTATTGGGGCAGAAAAAATGCAAACCTCAAAAAAAGCTTAGTTTAAAAATTGAGCTATGAAGCCATTTAAACCACAACTATAAATAAAATGTAATGGCTGAGTAAAATTCTCAACACATATATATATAAAATATGCCAAAATATTTATAGTGATTTCTTTTGGTTGACATAATTGTGTTATTTTTATATATCTTTTTCTCATTTTAGAAGCTAATATTGCTATTCAGGAATACAGGATGGAAAATAATAAAATAATTAATTAATTACATACAAGAATACACTCTGTGTTTCATGTACTCATAACTGTAAACCTACTTTTGCCCCACCCTGTATTTGAATATTCTGCATTGAGTGACAGGCATAAAATATTTCATATACTCAGTTAAAAAAAAAAGATTGCTGGGACCAGCTGGCATGGCTCAGTGGTTAAGCATCAACCTATGATCCAGGAGTTCACGGTTCAATTCCTGGTCAGGGCCATAGGAAGAGCACCAGGGTTTGGTGAGGAAGCAGAAGCAGGAGTTAGGGGAGAGCTTAGTCTAGTAGTTTTTATCAGGCTGTCCTTGAGAAAAACAAGGCAGGGAAGAGGCAAAATTTTAGAGCTGTCTAGTCTGAACAATTTCAGTGGGCTTTGGCCTATATGAGTGATACCCAGTTGCCTGGTACCTGGCCCTGGGATGATTAAAGCAAAGGAATATTGCTTCCTGATGTGAATGGCCAGATGGAGCAGGTATGCTCTGGATTGGTTAATCTACGTATTAGACATGCTCGTGGCTGGGCACCTTGCCATCTCTAAGAATTAGCTAGGCCTGGGAGGGGCAGTCTCTCCACAGTCAGAAAGGTATTTTTAAGTTGTCAAAACATCACAATATACAGAAAATAAAAACATGATTAATAAAATGTATTTGCTGAATGTATGAATTACCAAAAGTACTACAATTTCTATCCAGTCCACACCTCTGTTTTGGGGAACACCTGCAAACCTTGGAGCCTCTCACTGATATCCAAAATACAGCTAGTTGGTTCCCAGGAGGCAACCAATCAATGACTCTCTCATCATTAATGTTTCTGTCTCTCTCTCTCCCTCTCCCTTCTTCTTGCTGAAATCAATAAAGATATATTTTAAAAAAAAAAAAGGTTGCTGGTTATAAGTTGACAATTATAACCAGTTTGGGAGCACCAAAGACAGTCCCACAGCTCCCCTATTAATATCTATTAACTATCAAATTAGTAGATCATTCATGTTAATAATTTGTATTTCCATCTAAGGGTGAATTACTTAACAAATAGCTACATTTTTCATTAGGATCAGTGAGTACAAAACTGTCTTAAAAAAGAATAGGAGTCACTATTTAGTGAGCATGTAACAGACATGATGCTAAGCCCTTTCCATATTTCATTTAACACAACACTGTAAGGGAAGTATTATTACCCCCATTTTCAGAGGAGGGTACTAAAGCTCAGAGAAGTTAGTTAATTTATCTAAGTTCATGAAACTAGAAAATAGTGATACTGGAACCAGCTTTTCCACATGCAGAACCCCTAATGATATCAGTGAAGTAAATTAGTGATGGGATTGTTCATATTGCATAAGATAATGGTTTTGAAAATATTTCAACCATAAATAAATAATTTTGAGAAAGGCAATCACTAATTAACTGATGGTTAACAGGGTTGTCGTTTTGTATTGTTGTTGTTTTTAATCCTCACCTGAGGATATGTCTCCATTGATTTTCAGAAAAATAGGAAGAGAGATTGAGAGAGAAACATCGATGTGAGAGAGAAACATTGACTGGTGGACTCCAGCACAATGCCCCAATCAGGATCGAACCCGCAGCCTTTTGGTGTACAGGAGGATGTTGCAGCCAACTCAGCCATTCAGCCAGGGCTGATGGTTAATAGTTTTTAACAGATTCCACACAGTTAAAAGAAAGACAAATAAATGTTTTAACTAATGTTCAATAGGATAATGTCTAATATTAACTGTTTCTG